GGCTCAGTGTAAGAACATAGTGATGGGGAGTGAGGACCTGGAGAGCAGGTATTACTTCATCCCAACGGGACAGCCCCTACTCACCATTGTCATGTGAAAATGTAGGCTCACTGTTCCTTTCAAAAGTTTAGGAGGAACTAGAAATCCACATCTTGTGGGACATTTCCCAGGCGTGGAACCATTGCACAGATCATGAGATACCCTCTGCTGGTAAATGTAGGTGTCAGGCAGCCAGTTTGCTACCCCTAATGTAAAGCCCTTCCCAAATGAATCTTTCTCCCCCTACAGTGTGTCACCAGCTCTCAGTTGAAACAAAACAAAACAACAACAAAAAAACATGCCGGAGATTAGTCTCAGCATTTGAAACCAGTGGTTAGATGCTCACGTGGAAAGGTCTTCATGGAGAATCGAGGGGCTGATATTCGTTTCTCATTGCTGTTGTAACAAATCACCACAAAGTGAATGGCTTAACCAACGCGAATTTATTATCTTACAGTTTTGTAGATCAGAAGTCTGACATGGGTCTCACTGGGATAAAATCAAGCCCTGTCAGCAGGGCAGTGTTCTCTTCTGGAGGATCAGGGGAGAATCTGTTTTCTTGCCTTTTCCCACTTCTAGAAGCCAGCTGCCTTCCTTTGTTCACAGCCTCCTTCCTTGTCTTCTAAGCCAGCAATGAAGATTCAGCCCCCATGTCAAATCTCTCACTACAGTGTGAAGAGGTTCTCTGATTTTCAGGGTTCATGGGGCCCACCAGACAGTCCAGTGTTATTTCCCCATGCAAGGTTATAGTTTAAAGTTTTGGGTTTTTTTTTTTTTTAATTTATTTAAGTAATTTCTACACCCGACATGGGGATCAAACTCACCACCCCAAGAGCAAGAGTTGCGTCCTCCATCAACTGAGCCAGGCGCCCCCAAAGTTGTATTTTAATCACCTCTGCAAAATCCCTTTTGCCACGAGGTAACATTTTCATAGGATCCAGGGATTAGGGTATGAACACGGCTCTTCCCTAAACGTTTGGATCTTTGCTCCATCTTCAAAAAAAGCTCTAGGGAGAGGAATCTATGATGAACTGGATTCTTTCCTTCCTTCCTTCCTTCCTTCCTTCCTTCCTTCCTTCCTTCCTTCTTCCTTTCCTCTCTCTTTCTCCCTTCCTTCCCTTTTGTTTTATTTATTTATTTATTATTTATTTATTTATGTATTTATTTATTTCTAAAACAATCTTTTTTAATTCCAGTATAGTTTACAGTGTTGTATTAGTTTCAGGTATGCAGTATAGTGATTCAGCAATTCCACACATCACCCGGTGCTCATCACAAGTGTACTCTTAACTCTTAATCTCCTTCACCTGTTTCACCAATCCCCCTCCCCGCCGCCTGCCTCCCCCCTGGTAACCACCAGTTAGGGCTTATCTTTCTTCTTCTTCTTTTTTTTTTAATGTTTATTTATTTATTTATTATTATTTTTTTTTTTACCGTTTATTCAATTTTGAGAGAGAGTGAGAGACAGAGCATGAGCGGGGCAGAGAGAGAGGGACAACACAGAATCCGATGCAGGCTCCAGGCTCTGAGCTGTCAGCACAGAGCCCAACACGGGGCTCGAACCCACAAACTGTGAGATCATGACCTGAGCCGAAGTTGGACGCCTAAGGGACTGAGCCACCCAGGTGCCTTGGGTTTGTCTTTCTTCTCAACCAGATTCGTTCTCCCCGGCCAGGCTTCCTTCTATGTAAGACACTGTTCTGGCGGAGGCCTTTCTGCGCAGCCAGCCGGGCCCAGCCCTCTCCATGCGGCAGACACAGTTCTCAGCCGCCTGTCTGGTTGCAGATCCATCTGCTACGTCGGGGCTCAGAGCAGCCGTTCTCTCTTAGCTCCTCTCCCTGTGGAGCTTCTCAGCTGGGATTAGTTACAGGGGTGACGGACTGGGCAAACATTCCTCCTTCTCTCCAGAGGCAGCCCAGGCTCTGGGGCCCGCCACAAGGGCTTGAGTCAACATCGCACAGGCCAAGGCTGGAGGCGGCAAGAGCAGGAGCGCAGCAGGATTACACGATTGACTGGGGCCGCAGCTCCCGAGGGGCGAGGCCCAGCCGGCTGGAAGCACAGGCTGAATCTAACAAGGGCTCACTTATTCCTGTGCATTTCCCCTTTGCTTGGGTTCAAATGGTCAACTTCTTCCAAGAAGAGGATTAGGGAGACTGGACGTTCAACGTCGGTTCCGGCAGGTGGCACATGACCCAGCTGTGACAGCAGACATCGCCAGCCCCTTGGGAAGAGAGCACTGATTCTATCTGTGTAACAGCCAGGCTGTGGCCAGCTTCTTCTCTCCCTGCAACCTTATAGGCCCACAACACACACACACACAC